GCCCATTAGGCCGAAACGGTACCGTCTGTAGTTAGATATCGCTCTATGGCCTTTAGGTCATATTGAGCGCTCTACAGGATGAGCCATGCCGCTTACGCATTGCGCACTCTCACTGCTTGCAGTTTGAGCGCTCAGGCATGGTTTTCATGTCCCACAATCGTGAGGCATCAAAGGTAACTATAAATAAGAGTTACTTTCATCCTGCTAATCAGCACTACACTGATGAGGCCCATTAGGCCGAAACGGTACCGTCTGTAGTTAGTACCGTCTATATATATATATATATATATATATATATATATATATATATAAATTAGTAAAAATAAGCTATAGGTGATTTCATGTACATGAGCCTGAAAATAATTATTTTATTTGGAAGGTCAAATGTCTGGCCAAGCCAAAAATTGGTTGGACATCTGTCAATTTTTCCAGGACAATGGACAGAGTAACATTTTTCTTTTTTAATTTCTACCATTTTCTTTTCTTTTAAATGTAATTTATGTAATTTATTACGTCATATAAATTTAAATTTTGCATGCTTACGCAATAATTTGCTAACGTGACACGAACGGTTTAATTAAAATCAACGCAATATATGTAATTACTATAACTTGAAAATGCCACACAGCATGATCACAGAATAGGAAGGTATACCAGAAGTCTCACTCAAGCAAGTATTTGTCCGCGTTTTTACAAGCGATTCGTCATCAATCACGCCATCCTGGCTAGTACAACCGGCACTTTGTACCTACCAAAACCTGATAAAAACTTCCGGTTGTACTAGCCAGGATGGCGTGGATTGGCGTGAGCGAGTTAAAATTTTCGTGGACGTAAAACAATAAGGGAATAGAGTTGCGCTTCTGCTGTAACTTCTTATTCTGTGGAGTGATGCACGCTGTAGCATCGAAACGTCGTTTAATAAATGTAATATCGCTATCATTTCTTTCAAAATTATTTTCAAAAAAGTTTTTGATTATTGGTTTTGGTTTTATTAATAAAAATTGTGTTAAATAAACAATTTTTTGAGATTGGAGATTTGACCAGCCTAAATCGGTTGGTCACATGTGTCCGGTCATAAGAAGCTTTGATCGGACAAAAGGTAAAATTTGGCCGGTGACCGGCACTAATTTGCAGGCCTGCATGTATCCATTAGAAGAGCAGACCAAGGATATCTTAAAACTGAAATCGGTTCAGTTCGAAATGCCACCATCAGGGACGTAGCGAAGCATCTGAAGTTTGGAGGGGGGGATGTCGAGGATTTTACCTGAAATTTGAATTTCAATGTTCAAAATTTACCTGAAGTGTAATAATTATAATAAAGCTTTTTGTGATTGATTTGCCTGACATACTAAGTTTGGGGAGAAAAGGGAGATCTCAGAAAATTGTTACATTTGTGAAGTTCTAGGACTGATTTTCTGGAATTATCTAAAGCAAATTCGCAAACAAATTGTATGCAAATTGACTGTATTTTACAAAAATGGTTATCACTTCACAAAAATAATTACTTTATTACGCAAATTTTACCTGAAAATATCAAAATTATAACTTGAATTTCACATATTTTTGTCTGAATTTCACAGTAGGGGGAGTTTTACACCCCCAGGCCCTCCCACACTGCCCGGTCGCTACGTCCCTGACAACCATTCCTTGCCAAGATATAATGACTTAAATTTCTAAAAATCCGCCATTTTGTTCTATTTTTAGTAACTGTAGTAGAATGTAGTGTTTAAGACTCAATGAACCGAGATAAACGCGCGCTATAGTGTTTGCGAACTATATATTGTATACTGATTAGTTGTTCCTATTTGGATTATAGTTAGTAGCATATTAATTAGCTATATTACATCCCTCCCCACATCAGTATAGGTTCTTCACGTTCTATGTTATTCAAAATGTCTCCTCTGCCCGAAACGACACTAGGAATTTAAACTGAAACAAATTTCAAGTGTTAACATGCAATATGTGTTTATAGTCAATGAAATTTCAATGTTCAAATCCAAGTCTATTTGGTTGTCTTCTTTCTCGCTGGGATCTTCGTAAATGAACAGGTTCTTGATTGAGTTGGTCTTCGTTGGTTCAGTCGCAATCAAAATCGTCGTCATCATCTTCGTCATCTGAACTATCCGTTAAACGATTATCAATCTTTTTGAAGAAGGATATGTTGCGTGTTTTCTTCTTCGAGCCACGTTGGACGGTAACCATTGTTCCTTTCCGAGCTTCAACTGTGAATGTTTTGGGGTTAAACGGTGGGGTAAACTTGTTCTTCTTTTGTTGGCGGATCAGGACTGTGGCTCCTATCCTCAGATGAGTTGTTTTCGAGTGTTGTCCATGATCTGAGTATTTCTTCATCTTTTCTTTCTTTTCTTGATCTCGTTTTCGCATTGGATCTTGGGTTTCTTGTTGCTGAGGTTTTGGAATACTCGGAAGTGGTATCTTTAACTTTCTATATATTGTTCAGGGCCTCGGATGGTGACACATTCGTCATGCTGTGCGGTGTCGCTCTGTACAGGCGGAGTAATTGATACAAGGCTTGCTTCCAGTTCTTCTTCTCGATGTGTGCTGTACGTATGGCTTTTTCAATGGTGCGTATAAACCATTCCACTTCTCGATTCGCCTTTGGCCAATACGGAGTGACTTTGTGATGTTCGAAACCAAGGTAACTGGCAAATTGTTCAAATTCCGAGCTGTTAAATGGCGGCCATTATCACTTTTAAGAACAACAGGAACATCTTGGCGGCAAAAAAATGTTATCCAGCTTTGGGATGACAGCTTTTGCGCTGGTAGTGGTGACAATTTCTACTTCGGGGAATCGACTAAATTTATCGATGACAACGAGAGTAGTAATATAGGGGCCGATCGACCCAGATTTTTAGGGGGCCCCAGGAGACCGCAGGGGGCCGCACATTATATATGCAGGTAATTACTTTGCAAGGGGCCGCACATTATATATGCCGATAATTAAGGGGGCCGCACATTATATGCAGTACTTCATATATGCATGACGTCACGCGGGCAAGTTTGGACGAGATTGATTGAAACTTGCTGACTAGGCATTTTTAGCATCCCCCCACGTGTGTGATACAATGAGGGATTAAGATTCGCTTACTATGATTGGTTGTTTGATTTAACGACTTTTATACAAGCGTCTGTATAAAATCGACAAGCGTCTTGTGGTGAGCATAGTTCTACATCAGTCATGGTGTGTCTACATGGTAAAGCTGCTGCCTCTACAATTACAAAAAATGGTACATTTTGGTTTTGTGGGGAAAAACCAAGCTGCGCGAGTTCTTTTGCTCAGAAGAAGATTGTTATATGTATACGAGAGCTGTAGCTGCGTTTCGTGGAAGTGGTTCTATACACTCCGTGTGCCCTAAACATCAGAAATTTGCCAGGCTATGTGTGGTCAAAGACACAATGAAAGATAATTATGGACGACCCTTCTTCGTATGTTCTGAGCGAAAGAATCCCTGCAAGTTCTGGCAATGGGGAGACGTATTTGAAGGTCCGAGACCGCTATGTCAACATGGAATGGTGTGCTGTGAACGAAAAGTCAAGAAAGATGGTCCGAATCAAAACCGTCTGTTTTACTGCTGTCCGAAGGAAGACTCTTGTGGTTTCTTCGAATGGAAGCCACAAGACCCTCGTGTAATCAACACTGGCATCGTGCTCTTCAGTAATCCACTACAATACCAGTACATGATTGAAGAAACAGGAGATACATTTAATAGTTCTATATCTAACACTAAGGAGGCCTATGATGAATTTCGTAGATTTGGTTTAATAAGTGAACTTGATAAAAAAGACCTCTTGTAATAATAATACGTTGCTGTGTGTTGTTAGTTAATTAATGAAAATTTGCATATATTTACTGAAATAAATACTGTGTGTTTCATTTGCTTTACAATCGTTGTGGTGAGAGTATCGTGGATAACATAGATATAATTTTTGATGAGTTGAAACGAAATGAAATTGATATTGATAAGCAAATTTTATCGTTTCATATAAATACAATGATCAACAAACATCGAGATATATACCATGAAATGAGTACTCGTAATCTAAACCTTGAACAAATCTACAGATCAATGTTACAAACTTAACTTTGGTCGTATTATTGCCTATTTAGCTTTCGTATGTTTACAAAATGGTAACGAGGAATCTAGTCGGCACGATGTACAAAAAACCGTCGAGGCATGTCGAATTTTTCACTAGTATTCCCAAACATAAACCAAGTAAACGTCCAATTTTAATAACGCTCTCACTCACACTGATAGCTTCATATATCAGTCTATAATTACTGCCTGTTTCATTTAGTTCAAACCTCTGAGGAGTGAGGATGCCTTGCTGTAAACGTTTACCACAAATATCTCTTCGAAACATTTTCCCGCGAAAAGTAGGCTGTATTTCAGCTTGCTGTGGGGGGAAAATCGTAATTCAGGCCTCAGACATCGATGGCAAAAAAGCCCCGCAAGTTTTGGTGGCGTAGATTCCATTTATCGCGCCGTGAAAAACGAAGGGAAATATCAGCATATCGCGGAATAAAATACGGCTATGGTTACAGAAGCAAGATATCTGTACCTTGCATAAACCTGTGCGATATCGCTCAGGCGTACCGCGTTATAGTTGGAGCCATGGATGATGAGTGGGAGGCAGATTTAGTCATTATGGATTCATTCAGTCAACAGAACAATGTTATTGATGTACTCAGTAAATATGCGTGGGTTGAAGCAATAAAAGCAAAGACAGAGGTAAATCTTGCCACTGTGATCTTGCCAAAGCCTTTGAGAAAATAATCAAGAAAGGACGTAAACCGAAAATGTTTCACACTGATAAGGGGACGGAGTTTATCAATAGACAGTTTCAAACTTTTTTGAAGAAACATGGCATTTGATTTTTACAACGTACAATTAACGAAACCAAGGCATCGATGGCCGAAAGGTTTAATCGCACGCTCAAGACGAAAATGTGGAAATACTTTACCGGCAGCAAACAATACGCTCAAGCACGTGGACATTCTCCAGAAACTGGTCAAATCTTATAATCATTCTCGACATCGTAGTATTAGCATGAGACCAGTAGATGTGAATAAAAACAACGAGAATATTGTGTGGCAAACACACTACGGGAAAGAATCCAAAAAATCAGTCCAGCTTAAGTTTAACATTGGCGACCAAGTCCGGATTAGTAAAGCAAAGCGAACATTTAAGAAAGGATACTTACCCAATTGGACTGAAGAAGTGTTTACGGTAACGAAACATATACCTCGACGACCACTTGTGTACAAGATTGCAGATTATGACGGCGAAGAACTGGAAGGAACATTTTACGAGCAGGAACTTCAGAAATTCAACAAATCAGGGTTAGGGTTAGGATTACGTTTCTGTTTTAAACAGAAACGACGATCTAATCGATTCAACTACTCTTCCCTCAACTACCCAATGCGAACCTAATACGTCAGAATTGAATCTTTCTCCCGAGGACGTTTTGGTTTGTCTGCGAACGCTTGATGTCAATAAAGCAACAGGTCCTGACGGAATTTCGCCCAGACTAC